AAGTGGTGAAGTCAAGAAGAAGTGGTGAATATTATCATATCCAATAGAATTGGTTCACACAAAAATTGAGCCTACTGATTGGTCAAAACTCCAATGTCCGAGAATTCGATCATGTCCGAGAATTCGATCATTTACCTTACTACGTAGTAGTACTTAGCAGTTATTACAAGAAAATTATCAGTTATTACAAGAAAATTATCAGTTATTACAGGAGTCGCAATGGATTAATCCGTCGCAATGCATATACACTATACGGTATCACCAAATAAACCCTAAAATATTTCGCTCATGTTGACGCGATTTACACAATAATAGCCAAATCTTGTTTACTGTTAGGTAGTAAAATGTAATCTACGAGTTGAGCTTGACCAAATCATTGACGCCGTTGACAGTGTCCATGGGAAGCAGCATCAATCGCATGTCAGAGGTGCGCGAGGGGTTGATGTTGATGCTGCGAAGGACATTCAAGTACTGGATCGCAGTGAGGTAGTCCACGGCGCGCACTCCGGCCTCCGTGATGGCTATAATGCCCATGTTAGACAGGTAGTACTGAATACTATGCAGCATACCCGCGCGAATAGACTCCATCGACTGCGCTTCCGCCTTGGAAGAAAGCATTTTGGCCTCGGCTTCCCCCGTGGCTCTCAACAACATGGACGCGCGGTCCCCTTCCGCACGCAAAACCATGCGGGCGGCATCGCCGCGGGAGTTGACAATCATGCTTTCGCGCTGTCCATCCGCCTATAAGCATCAACATCGTCGTCACCATGGAACCTTGATCGAGATTCTGGAACATGGAGCATGTACCTCGAGCACTTCCGAGCGGCGCCAACGCTCCGCCTTGATCTGCTGCTCCATGGCCAACTTGATATCCATGGGCGGAATGATGTCAAAGATTTCGACGCGGGTAATAGTGACACCCCATCGCTCGACGTCGTGTTTCACCTACAAAACGACTTATGTCACTACTCGTGTGTCACTAACAAGGGTTGCTACGCACCTTGCTCAACAACTCGTAGTTGATTTCATCGCGGGACGAGAACGTGTCGTCCAACGTCATGGTCGCAATGATGTTGCGCAGCGTTGCTTGGGTCACCAGTTCCACCGAGTCGGGGATGTTCTGCGCCTTGTACACGGCCAGACGGGGGTCGACGATGCGGAAGTACACGAGCGCGTCGATGTCAATCATGACCGTGTCCTTGGTGATCACGTGCTGTCGAGAGAACTCAATCACGTGTTCGCGCATGTCCACGCGCTCGGTGGTCGCAGAAATCACAGGCGCGTCACCGTTCTGAATCGTGCGACTGCGGTGGCGCCACGCGATCGGACGGACTTGTTCGACGATCGGCACGATGATGTGCATACCCGGCAAAAGCGTCTTCTTGTACCGGCCAAACCGCTCGAGGATCATGACCTCCGCATGGTTGACAATGCGGATGCTCGTGGCGAAGATGAAGAGAATGAGCACCCACAGCACCACCAGGACCACCGCCACGGCGATCACGACGGACGTGGACACGACCATGCTGTTGTTGCTTGTTTACGCTCTCGAGAAGGCGGATCGAAGAATGGGCTCGTAGTCGTTGGGAGTTTGGTTCGAAGTACAATGGTTACTTCGATTTGTCGTATACTTTACGGTACATTTGACCGTACATTGTACCGTTAAGAACTGTACAGTTGACGTAAAACAGTCGGTACAGTGACAAACCTATGATCTTAGGCTCCAGGAACCTCAGGACGTACTTTTGCATCTTGGACGCTCCAAAATGCACCATCACACCGAAGGAACGACGACCTGATGGCTCGGGGGAGTTTTATCTTGGCCATGTTCAAAGTTTAAGGGACTTAGACTGATGGTTCACATTCGTCAAAGACAGTAGCCGCCGCTTCGTCCACGGCAAGTACAATTCACGGTGAGGACTCGGTGATTGTTAGCACGCATGTTTGAGCGCTTTGCCACCGATGACGAAGGCGATAGCTGAGGATGGATGCCATAGCTTACTAGTTACCATCGTAGCGAGTGCGCCTCACGCATATGTACTGTTGCAATTCCCTGCAGCCACGACGCCACATGTCATCGCATCGCCGATTCTGATGATTCGACCTGTATAAACCCAAGTTGAACACCGCCGTATAAGATTAGCAAGGTTTCTTATGATAACCATATTCCGAAGTCGTTCGTTTCCCCCTTAGTTGCTCATGTGGTGCTTCAACCCTGGCAACGACGAGCAGCCGTCGGTAGCCCCATCATCGTCGGCGCGCCACTGCTCCTCTTGTACGTCAGTCATTGTTTGCAACCTCGTGGGATGCCCATTGACCTAACCGATTCACAAAGCAATGGAGAAACTGCGTTCGGCCAACAAGAACGTGCTCGGGACGTACGACACGCCGCCGACATGGGTCTCAGACGAATCCATCCCGTCTTGCGCGGCCTGCCACGACGACTTTGATCTTTTCAATCGAAAGCACCATTGCCGCGGATGCGGCGGAGGTGGGTCACGCATCCATGTGGTGTTTGGCTAAGTAGTGAACGTTGCAGTGTTTTGCGGGACTTGCACACCACATAGCGGCAAAGTGCTCAAGCTCGGACTCACCACCGACGTCCGCTTGTGTGGTCCTTGCGCCACCTCGGCCCAACGGGAAAATGGGTTCTACGCCCGGCACTTGCCGCTGCTCGAGGCTGGCGCGGTGTTTGTCAAATATGGTACCGTTATACTACTACTACCACACTTTCCCAGTTGCCAATATGAAAGGGTCCATGGCGTAGGTTTCCTTGTCGAGCGTACCGTGTTTGTGAAATGGGTGGATGGCACCGTTCAGTACCAATCGATCAACGTGATGTCGAACGTTCTGTCGGGTACGCTTCTCGATACTACGAACTCGCGACCACAGTATTCGTCATATCGCGAATTAATAACATGATTGAGTCGAATGTACTAGGCATTGTCAAGGCGATTCCTTTCGACACTATTTCAAGTCTCACTCCAGTGGGAGTCAGCGGACTCTACCTCACCACACCCTCCCAGCAACATCGACTGGACGCGGCAGATCCGCATATCCGGGACCTGTGGCTGCAAGCTCTTCGTAGCGCCCTGGAGATGCGACAGGTACCTCGTGCAATTGTGTACTCGTGTTGGAGGATGATCCAATGCGATAACGTCACCAAAGTGCAGTCACCAAAGTGCATTTTCACTATCACGTGGAATGACTTGTCCAGTTGATACTGTATCTCATATATATGTGTGTGTAGTTTCAAGTGCAGAAGATTGAGGAGGAGACGGCGGCGCGGGTGGCGCTGGAGCATCAGGAAATGACGCGGGTGATGATCGGGTAACTAGCAGGATATTCGCATGATGATGGCGGCGGCTGTGTGGTTGCTATATGTATGTGTTGACGAATGGCGTAATAGACTGGAATCGATTGAGCTCCGAAAGACACATATGCAGCAAACGCGGCTGGAGAAGAACCAAAGTCGTCGCGAAGCATTGCGGGCCAAGTATGGTCTGGACGTGGCAACGACGACAGGCCCATAGCGCAATGAACGGGGGCATGTTTAAGAAGGAAAATTTGTAACTTAATGGAACTACATGGAGCTGTGCATGTGCATGGGGGTGATGTGCTTCAGGCAGTCCTTGATTGCCATCGTCGCAAGCTGCGCTGCGTACCGCACGTCCTCGGAATCGGAGCACAGATCCAAGCGCTCTGCATTGTCGTCGTTGGGCAACCGCGTTTCGGAGCAATAGTCTCCTTCGCCTTCCATCACGTACGAATCCAGCGGAAGCATGGGGCACATGGATCCATATTCAGCAACGACGCGGTCTGCCATGGCGAAATGATGCTGCTATAGAGGTTGACATTACACTGTTTCATCCGGATACCAACAAATTCATCGAAAAAAACACACACAGATAAACGTGTATTTCGGGGAGAAAACTAGAGTTGATCCCAATTCACCCAACATTCTTACGTGATTTACCCATTTCACATCCAAATACTACTTACTAGTACTCGTTAATTTATGCCAACCACCTTATTTACAGTTAACGTTTTACTGTTAGTTAGTACTACGTAGTAGTTAGGTGCACTTTGTAGTAGGGTCGTCGTCGGCTTTCCTCCAAACGTTTTCACATGGTCTCTTGTTTCAGGAAAGCCCCCCAAACATGCATCACATTGACCACCTAGTTACAGTGTCACATATGAAATGCATGGCCATCTCCTTCCACCTTGAAGGGGGCCAAGTATGGTACATATTATTCCCATCTAGACAGAGAGACCTTTCACAGGTCGACGTGCGAAGATTTTGGCCTGACGAGGGGGTATCCGGATACCGCCACGGCTCCACGCCAAGGGATTGGGTGTCGGTATCCGGATGCCCAGGTGGTGGATGCTATTTGGCTGCGACGACTTTGCAAGTGTAGTGGCGAGAGGCGGAAACAAAGTGAGTTTACCATGAGCAACTGGCAACCAGCTCCTGACGCGCTCAACGAGGTCGTGGCGTTGCTCCAAGCTAGCACCGTCCCCGACAATGCGATCCAGCAGCAATCCTACCAACGCCTGAACCAATACAGTGTGCAGCCCGAGTTCCACCTGTACCTGTTGCACGTGTTTGCGCACCATCCCGAGATCGGCGTGCGACAAGTCGCTGGGCTTCTGCTGAAGAAGAGCATCAAGAACATGTACCACAACTTGAGCCCGGACATGCAGACCCACATGCGCACGAGCATCCTGTCGCTTCTCACGGACCCGCACCCGAAAATCCGCAGCACGGCTGGCCTGCTCCTCACGACCGTCGTGCAAGTGCTCGTGACGTTCGACCAGTGCCCGGAAATGATCCCTGGTCTGCTGCACTACCTGCAGGATGCGGCGAACGAGAGCGGCGTTGAAGGCGCGTTTGGCGCGCTCACGAAGATCTGCGAAGATCACGCGGACAAGTTGAACGACCAGCGGCTGGCGTCGCGGCCTCTGGACGCTCTCATCCCAATCTTCCTCCAGTACTTCAACCATCCCCGCCCCGAATTTCGTCGCGACGCGTTGAACTGCATGAACCAGTTGATTCTCATCATGCCCACCGCGCTCGACCTCAACATCGACGCGTTCCTTCAGGTATATATATACACGAACTCTTGTTATCGAAACCATGGAACATCACGCGCTGACCATGGCATTCTTGTGCGTAGGGCATCTCCCATTTGACCCAAGACACGTCCAGCCCCGTGCGCAAACTGGTGTGCCAGAGCATCGTGATCCTCCTCGAAGTGCGCATGCAAGTTCTGATGCCTCACTTCACCCCCATCGTTCAGTTCATCCTTCACGCGTCAAATGTACGGCTCGTCTCCATCCATCCATCCATCCCTTCCCCAGCGTCACCATCATCATGTAGGACCCCGACGAGACGGTGGCACTGGAAGCATGCGAGTTCTGGTCATCCATCTGCGATCTCCCGCCCGAGCTCTTCAACGACGTCAAGCCGCTGTTGAGTCACGTGCTCCCGCATTTGATTCCTCTGTTGCTGTCGCGCATGGTGTACTCGCCAGAAGACATTGCCCAATTCGAGCTCGAAGAAGACGAACAGAACGAAAACGTACCCGACCGGCCTGAAGACATCAAGCCCATCTTTCACAAGAGCAAACATGCCGCCGACGATGACGCAAGCGATGACAACGACAGCGATGACGAAGAAGATGACACGGGGGACGACGACGTCGAGCAGTGGAACCTCCGCAAGTCCGCCGCCGCCGGCCTCGATACCCTCAGCCACTCGTTTGGGGTGGATATCCTGCCCATTCTCCTCCCGCTTCTCCAAGAACGCCTGGCCAACACGGGCGGACACTGGGCCATCCGCGAGTCGGGCATCTTGGCCCTCGGCGCCATCGCCGAAGGTTGCATGGACGGCGTCGTGCCCCATCTCCCGACGCTCTTCCCGTATCTGCTCACGCTCATGAATGACCCCGCGCCGTACATTCGCAGCATCACGTGCTGGACACTCGGCCGATATGCCAACTGGGCTGTGTCTCTCAACGACCACGAAAACGTATGATCGTTGTATTTTCGTCGATCATGTCGTTTATATTATGTGGTGGCTCGCAACGCTGTCCTCAAATATATATATATATATATATATTTATGTATATATATATGTCGAGTATATTCTCCACCACGAACGGGAATTTATTCGTCGGCATATTTTATTTATTGATTTATTTTGTCTCTCTAGAATATAAACGTGTTGTTGCTATATTATTGGATCGTTCCCATTGGGTTGGTATTCCAAAAAAGTTTTTTTTGTATCAACCATGTAATCATCCTCCCTTCAACATGGATATTATTATAGTTATCATTTTTCTAGTTTTACTTTTACCGTTGGTTTGTTTTAAAATATCGCGTTTATTTTAAATTTCGGATTTCACGTCGGACGTCAACAACATCAATCTCGACCAAATAATATTTAAGTAGGATTGATTGATTATATTCTCGTCGACTTGGGAACAACCCTGTTGTTGGTACAGTGTCTTGGGATATTTGGGAATTAAATCTCTTGTGAACATATATAAACATTTATATAAATGTAGGTACTCAAGCCACTGATGACGTCCATGCTGGAGCGTGTATTGGACGGCAACAAAAAGGTGCAGACGGCGGCGTGCTCTGCGTTTTGCACGCTGGAAGAAGAGGCGGCGGACGACTTGATCCCGTACTTGGCGCCCATTTTACACAACTTGATGTACGCGTTTGGGCGGTACCAGGCGCGGAATTTGCTCATTTTGTACGACGCAATCGGGACGCTGGCCGATTCCGTGGGCGAAGCCCTCAACTACCCGGACCTCGTCGCGGTGTTCATGCCGCCGTTGATTGCCAAGTGGCATGCAGTAGCAGACGACAACGCCGAGCTGTTTCCGCTCCTCGAGTGTCTGACGTCGATCGCGTCGGCGCTTGGCCTCGGGTTCCAGGAGTACGCGCGCCCCGTGTTGGACCGATGCATCCGGCTCATCGAGACGGGACTGCTGTCGTCGGCATTGGCGACGCATCGCCCCCAAGACGTCGAGCCCACAGACCCAGAGTTCATTGTGTGTGCGCTCGACTTGGTCTCTGGGATCGCCGAGGGGCTGGGCGCCAACATGGAAGGACTGATTGCCCCCACGAATGTGCTCAACTTGGTCGTCGAGTGCGTGCGCTTTCCCCTACACAACGTCCGCCAGAGCGCGCTGGCGGTCATGGGGGAACTCGCCAAGAACTGCTTCTCCCTTGTCGGCCCCCATGTCCAAGACATCGTGCCGCACCTCCTGCGCAACATTGAGCCCGACTACCCCTCCGTGTGCAATAACGCGAGCTGGGCGTTGGGCGAGATTGCCGTCAAGGTTGGCGCCGACATTGGGGCGTTCGCCCCCGACGCGATTAACCGGCTGGTCGCGGTGCTGGGGTACCAAGACCCGCGGCCGACGCGCAGCTTGCAAGAGAACTGTGCGATTACGATCGGGCGGCTGGCGTACGTCGCCCCCCAAGCCCTCGCCCCCCTCTTGCCGGTACGACTGGATATATATATGGTCGAAATACTAGAAGGACTATTTTGATGTATGATTGTGTAGCAATTTGCGAGCTTGTGGTTCAAGACGCTGCGGGTGTTGCAAGACGGCGAAGACCGCGAAGTGGCGTTCACGGGGCTGGTCAAGCTGGTACAGCTCAACCCGTCGGGGATTGTACAGGACTTTATGCAGCTGTGTGTGGCATTTGCTTCGCTGGAAGACCGAAAGAAGGACGGGTACCAGATCAGCGAAGGGCTGCACGAGATGCTCCAGCAGATCGTCCAGGGGTTCAAGCGTAGTCTGGGCGACCAATGGCCCGCCTACTACGAGAGCTTTCCCCAGCCTCTGCGGGACATCATCTCGGCGCGGTACCATGTGTAACCAACCAGCTACCGCCCCGGTATCCCCCCCTCCAGGCATAACAACCCCCCCACGGTGTCACCTTGGGCCACAGTAGCAGTAGAAGACCAAAGAAGGTCTGTTCGTAGGTAGATAGGTAGGTAGATAGGACGTCGTAGTATGTAGGTGTAGAGTAAGTAGCCACGGGGTGGCAGGTTGTGTCCGATGATGGGGCAGCAACAACCCAAGTAGTCCAAGTAGGTTTAGTACTTGTAGGACAGTGAAACCAATGGAAATACGAAAGAAGGGTGTCCATTGTTGATTACTGTAGTACGTACTATTACGCAGTGCGGTGCAGGGGTGGTGCGTCGTCTGTTCGGTTCAGCCGTCCCGGGGTGAGCAGTAGCATGCCAGGTCCAGGCAACATCTTGCCGTCGAAAAGGGGAGGAAGCGTGAGCCCCAGCGCACCACCGCTGGTCGAGGCGAAGTTGCCACCGCGAGAGGGAGGGGGGGCATGTTGGTTCTGGTGATGGGTGGTCGTTTGACGATGTGATGCCAAGCCCCCCCCGTTACTCTTTTTACGTTTGGGGCTTTTTTTGGCTTTGAACGGCGGCGGCTTCTTCTTCATCCCCATCGTCGCCAATGGTTTGGCGACTTTTCCTTTGGGCCGACCTCGCTTGACCAGTGTGGCCGACTGGGCAGAGTCCCCATTCGTCGTCCCAGCCGAGGTTGCCGCCACCATCCCCACAACGGCCGACGCGACGTACGTGGCGATCTCCGCCGAGCATGGATTGTCATACGCGTCTTTGAACACATCAAACAGCACGTGGTTGCCATGGGCGTTGGCGATGCTGCAGATCAGTGTCATGTCTGCACATGCAAAATCCGTTAAAATGAGCATTATCGATTCAACGTAATGGACGGGCGTACTGGCATCGTGCATGTCTGCGATCGGCGGCGGCGTCACGCCGCTCTCGATGGCGCTCAAGTCGCGCAGAAGCGTGTCGTACCGGTCCATGACGTCGTACACGGTCTTGCCCGGCAGCTGCATGGCGATCTTTGTCCATGCATGCGGCGTGTGGATCCATTTGGCGAGCTCTGCTTCGAACACGGCGTCTTCGTCGGCGGTCCACGTCGTGCTCCCACCTTGGCCTTTGGTCGCAAGCAACGACTGCGTCAGGAGCGCGTGGAGATACCGCTCGCCGTGTTCCTTTGTTTCGCTTTCGTTGCGGGTTTGAACGTGGGCCGCAATGGATATCCAAGGCGTCGACCCGTCGTCGTCTCCACGAAGGTGCTGACTCGTGCCGTGCAGTTCCAAGCCATCCAGGAACCTCAGGTGTTCGTCGGACGTCCACCCGCGTGCCGGCTCTGGATTGTCCATAGCCTTCAGTGGTGGCTTCTCATGACTTATTGCCATGTCGGTATCTAGTTTTCTATGGGAACTGCCACGGCCCCCACTGGTTTTTGCTGCTGGAAGATCGTCTCGCTGGCTTTTCATTGCAGGCGATTATATCTTTATAATTTACTTGGAGATAGTATTGTACTGGTATGTCGTAATTCGTGACCTTTGGCAAGATCCACTCGTTTTCCTTGGTCCCCCCATTATTTCATTTTGGAGGACCCCCCACCAAAGCTAAATTCGCTCGCTTATACTATCAAAACCCAAGTACTCCGAGGACATATGTACTCCAGTAGTAGTAATACTACTTACTATGTAGTAATTGGCAAGGTGGGCGTTCAGTGTACGTAGCCACAGCCTCACTTCCAACAACAACTCGATTTGCAATCGCGTTAGTTTGAAAACTCAACTTACGTCAAATATCTCACCCGACTACCGGTAGAGCAGAATTTTCTTAATCATTGAAACAACCCTCTACTAACTTAGCTATTGTATCGAAGTACCCATATTTATTGACTGTGAATTTCATTTCATCATGGCCTCATGGCAAACAGGCAATGACCCATTGGATTATCTCTTCATTTGGTGAAGGATCAACTCCATCAATGCGCATTTCATCGTGAACTCATGACAAGTTATCATAACATGCTGTGGAATCTCACACGTTCGTTTATCAAGGACCTCTACAGTTTGGTGGGGGAATCGAATGTCCATCATGTTGAACTGTGAGATTGTACACTCTTGGTGAGATGTTTGGGGGTGTATTTCTGGATGGGCGGGTGCATACCACGGCCACCCAGCCCGACACATGCAAACTTCAAGTTGATTTGAGATTGGCGAAACGGCGCAGCGTTACTCATGGTTGGCACCACAACTACCTGGCAGCCACGACAGTTGTGATCACCCTGCCACAATTGCAAACCTGTATTACCACTCACACATGACCATGAAGGTCGTCCAAAACGCCGGCGAGGACCACCTCCACCTAACACCACCACTCACGGTTGACACCAAGGCAGCGCTGCCGTTCGTGTCTGCGCTCTTGCCATGGCTGTACCTTGTGCATCACACAGACGCCAAACAATTGGACCGAGTCTTGGCCATCTTGGCCAAGTCCGATGGCCGCGACAAGGCGTGCAAGATCACTCAATACATGTGCAAGCTAGTCATGGCCATCAACCAGCCAACGTACAAACCACTGGTGGGCAAGCTGGCGACCCAACTCAGCGGCACCCGCCGCGTCCTTCGACTTGGACGTTGCCTCAAGTTTTTCCCCAACGCCATGGCTGCAAGCCAAGAGCCACACGGATGGAAGCGAGCGGTGGCCACGCTCGGCGCTGTGGTCGGCGGGGCCGGCGACTTTGGCGACGACGTCTGTTGGGCCAGCGACATGAACCTCCTGTCCACCTCGGTTCGTTCATGTCTTCACTGCTCGTGTGGTGTGTATATAACGTTTTTTCGCAGGTGGCAACATCGTTGGAGGTTTGGATTGACCGGCTGTGGGTCTTCTCTGTCGCGTGCGACTTGCCACTTAACACATCCGATTTGCTCGACGCCCGCCTCGCCTTCGTCGCCGCTTCTAACGCGGACACCGCCGACAACGAACGGACGAAAGCTGCCGTCCATCTCCACAACTGCCGCGCCACGTACGTCTCCGTATGGCTCGCCCAAGTCAAACTCGTGGCGGACTTTTTCCACGCGACCCGACGAGCGTACGACTGGCCGACAGCATCGCCGATGCAGGATGCCCTTTGTGGTCTCGTGTCTGCTTCATGTGCCATGATCAAGATGTGGCAGCCGTCCATTTTGCAAAAACAACATTTGTCCTAACGTTAGTGCGATCCGCACCACATTGCTTTTACTATACATAGTGAGCTACGTGCTACTACATACATGCAACAGTCAGTGGCTTGATTGACAAGCAACCTTAACGTTAGAGTTCGTTGGGATTTGCAACAGTCAGACGAACGCAGCTATCCATGGCGTAACGCTACTAGCCAGACATACGACCAACGTGCAATTAATTCCTTGGCAGCGGTGCCTCATGCCTTCTCACTCGATTTTCTCAATTTGAGCGTACTGTACCTCCGTATGTATTCATAGTATTAGAAATAAATAAAATAAAAATACTTAGGGCCACTCTGGCTGCCACAAAAAATGTCAGAACACACTTCGTTTTGCAACTTTTCAGAAATATTATGACAATTTTTCACTCCTTTTGTGTGTTTGGCTGCCAAATCTGATATGTATAAAGTGACATCATATGTCGAGTTTTACTATTTTCTGTCAAAATAGAGTAAAAACGCGACCTATAAAGTCAACTTGTGTGAAAAGTGGTATTTATAACAACACACGCAAAAGTTGTCGTTTGAAAAATTGCCAAAATATTTCTGAAAAGTTGCAAAAAGAGGTGGTTTCTGATATTTTTGTGGCAGCCAGAGTGGTCTAACCTTATACTTCGAAGTATTTTGAAGTATATAAAAATACGTTTTTTACAAGTACAAATCAATGGTTACTTGTTTTACAGCTTTTTATTCGACGATGAGCCAAAACCGTGCTTATGTTTTAGGGTGCGTCTGGTAAACGGAAATATTGCAATATTCAGGCCCAAAATGCTATTTTGGGGCAGAATTCAACAAATCTGATCATAGTTGAAATATGTCTTGCTTGAAGAGTTTAAACCCAAATGCAATAATTCCACGTGGGATTTACTCGTTCAAGTGGTCCAAAACGCCACATTACAAAATGGACCTTTTACCTCCATTTTGAAAATGGCATTTGGGTTAATCCCATTTTGGCAGAAAATGGAATATTCTTTTTGAAATCTTACCAGACGCCACCTTAGCTATTGAAAAAGTATGAAATTGTGCCCCCCTTTCATTGGCTCGATATAATTACATATGCCCCCCAACAATTTTCCATTGTCCCGACCAAACCATGCAAAGGGATTGCACGAGTGTAAGTTTACGGTACAATTTATTATATTATACAGTTTATTGCACCTACACTTTACCACAAATATACTCGATACCTGTATAAATGGATGTTTTACAAATATACATTTACAAAACTTATACGTGAGCACAGTCAAAAATGATCATCATTCCCACTGTTTTTCGTGGATAAATCAGCTGTCATTCTAGGACCTTTGGGGGTTCTAATTGGATTGATTCCATTTGAAATTCATTGTGAACTACGAGTGTTATTATAGCTGGAGCATCAACCAACCCCTGCTCGGCTGTACACTAAAGCGGTACAATATGTAGGAATATATATGTTGTTTATATTGCATTATCAAACGCGATAGACAACTCTTGGTGGGCACAAATTCCGTGTACAGTTACCTCGCAGTCAGCAACCTACTTTTCAGACAGCACTTTAAACAAACTAGGGACCACTTCCATGCGCCACGGCCCCGGACCCGGCAGCACTTCGCCGTCCATGTTCATCACGCCGTCCGCTTCATTTTGTGTAATGACCACCGCCTTGACCTTGACGTACGACAGCAGCGAGCTCTTTCGCTCCTTCCCCAGCAGATACAGCACCGCCAGATTGAGCATCTGAAATATGTTGCCTTTGCGGGCCACAATCAGGTCGAGGCATCCGTCTGACGGGTGGCAGAACGCCCCATCCGGTGCCGAGTTGAGCACCCCAATCGCTACATAATTCCCCGTCTCAGTCGTCCACCAGTCTTGCCGGAATCGGCTGGGACTAGCTGGACTCCGCACTACAATACAAAAAGGAATGAGTGAGTGAATCACTACTTGTATTTGGTCTTTGTTCAATTTTTATATTTTTATTTATATAATTTATTAAACGATTTAATTGATTTTTTTTTAATTGATTTATTGTTGTTTGAGGATTTACTCCAATATTATTACAAATTCTTTTAGCTTGATATTTATTAATACCATATCTCAATATACTACGGTTGTCCTTATAATCCACACAGCTCGAATAGTAGTATGTACACCCACCCATACACAGCCATATAAGGAGAGGACATACAGTGTTTCCTGTTGTCACGACTTTGACATTCATTCATGCATAAGTACACAGTAAATAACGATGTTGGCATAATATTCTTGTGTTTATATTTTAAACTGGACCGATATGGAGAAGGAATGCATCGGCACAACCAAATATATTACACAAGAATCATCGGCAGAAGGATTGAGCCAATCAGATTGCAGGAAACCATCATCAACGTTAAATTAGTGTGATATTACAATCACCACTGGACACTATTTTACATATCACAATTTAGTAGATAGATTCGATCCATAGATTTGGCAAAGAACCAGCACAAAAGCCCAAATTTTGGGGAAAAGAAAGACAATATCGAACAGCCAATAGCATGACGACTCGTAGCATTCCTTTTGTCCAGTAGTATCATAGTCAGATATGTTTAGATGGTGAAAGTGTACCTGCGCCGGCGAGTTTGGACGCCGCTTTCAAGTGGGCGTTGCGTACACTGGCGATGCCGTCATATATATTGTCTTCCTCCTAGATACATAAATATATATACATGATATGTTTTTGTCCAAACTCAATAATCTGACACGACGAGAAGTATATATGTATTTGCGACAGAGTAATTAATATATACACACATCAGGCATCATCCACTCGCCTCACATACACACACTCTCTCTCTCCATGACAACACCCCCCAACCACACAAACAACATCTCCCACGTCATCCTATTCACTTCCACGCAAGCGATTCATGCATATATATATGTATGCATGAATCCCATGTCTAGAAGTAGATATATATATATATATATGATTCCCATGTCTGGAAGTAGATATATATATAACTACATGATATATATCCGTACCACATCGTACTGGTCGTCCGCTCCCAAGTTTTTTATCTGGTCATATGGGCGGAGCGGGGGCTGGGGCTTGAGGGGTACGTACTGCAGACGCCCCGAGTGTCGTTTGGGGAAGAGCAGGCGCTTTACTTTGAGGAACGCGTACCGCTTGGTGCCCATCCATCGGAACTTCTCCGACTCGGCCGCGATGTCCCCTGGCACTCCCCATCCCAAGCCACAGCAGCTGTACTGCACAGTGCCGCGGTTGTCGTCCGCCATGGCTGTACACACGTCCAGCGGCCGCAGTTTGCGCTAAAATTTAAAGGTATAATTAGCACGAAGTATAGTCGATGGCATCCAATGTGGTACTAGTATATTTTGCCTATTCAGCGATTATATATATTTATATATATGTATATGAGGCCACGCAACGACATATGAAATTGAGTGGTCATGTACCTTGATGATGCAGTAGACGGCGGCCGCCGTCGTGGGAATTCCGACCCCCATTCCAAATGCATTTTGGGTGCCTACAAGAAAAACATATTATCCACACGCTACGCATTCCATCGCATATATATATATGCATATTATACATGCGGGGATCCACAATCGTTTCGAAATAACGATATAATCATATATATATATATTATATATATACACGTTGAGTGGTTTATTCCATCAATGTCACACCAACAAGTATACACGACAATATTTATTTATATTTATAATATATATATATATATATATATACGTTGAGTGGTTCATTCCATGATTGTCACACCAACAAGTATACACGACAATATTTATAGTAGTAGTATCACGATATATATATATATATATATAACACGTTTCGATCCATCATACTATCCATCCACGATATAGGAATACTCGTTTTCATGGTACCATACCCACGAATACCCATATATTGTCATGACATTAGCATCATATCCGTCATCACTTACCGGCGGAAATGAGTGAGATGGGGGTGGTGGCCACCACTTGCTTCCACTCGGCTTCTGGTCGCGCGAGCAATCCGTTCATGTACTCGCAGATGGTGCCGTCGCCCGACACAAACACGATCGCTTCGTACCCTTCCGCCGTCGAGTACTCGCGCCCCATGTCCACCGCATGTCCGCCGTACGTCGTCTGGTCCACATGAGAGTCAAAGCCGGCGAGGTCGAACAGCGGCTTGACGTCGCGTTCCCAGATGCGCGGGGCGTCGCGGCAGCCCGAGTGCGGGTTGATCACCACCCGAATGCGGCGCTTCTGCGAGGTCGGCGGCACCCGCGCCTGCCACCGCACCAGTTCCTGGATGGCCTGGATCCATGTGCGCGCCACGGCTTCGCTGGGGGCGTCCACGTCCAGTTGGTGGTGTGTGCGAAGGAGCGCGTGCGACGGCTTGGAGCCTACGGGTTGTATGGGAGAAGTGATGAGAGATGGGGTAACAAGGCAAGGTAATGTTAGAGATTGCTGGGATGATTACTCTACACTAAGCGATACATAGAGAAGGAATTTCACACGACGAAATGTACAGAAGAATTTGAGCCAATCAGATGGTAGGAACAGATAAACAGCAACGTGTTCTTCGTGGGTGACTTGAATTAGTGTGATATTATTGTCAAGTCGATATTCGAACATTCGAGTGTTTGGGTGGTGCTCGATATATCGACCAATCAAAGCACAGAACACAATTCAAGTGGCCAATCAAATACTCCCTTCGACCAAATGCAACATCGAATTAGTGACTGAAATTAGTGTGATTCTGGACGTTTTATATATAAGTCAAAGATTCGATCGACAGATTTGGCAAAGAATCAAAGTCACCCAAAAATAGGGTATAAGTGATATAATACAAAGTCCAAATATATATTTTTGGGGAAAAAAGGATATATATAGTCAGACATACCTTTGCCCTTGCGAAAGTAATGGAGTCGAAAGGACGAAGATGAGGAGGATGATGATGTGCTGCGGGAGGACGACGACGAGATTGATTCTGCCCCGACAATGTCGTCGGTGTCGATGAACCCCACGCGCTTGGATCTATACGATTTATGCAAAAATATGAGATTGTGTTGTCGTTGGTATGAATTATATATATATATATATATATATATTGGATTTGAAAATGTACAACTAAAGGGGGGGATATGAACAGGACGAGATTGGAGATGAATCAAGAATCACCGCCGGGCTCCGTCCGACGTACCCGTGAAACCATGCAAACGCATCCCGGGATAGCATGAGGGTACATGGCTTCTTTTTAATGCGCGCAGAAGCCTTCAGGTCGCAGTCGAGTGGCATCTCGCGCCTGGAATACGCCTACACACACACGACGTCCGCTTTTGTCCGTGTTGATGTTCAGGACGAGGAAGGGAAGTGTACCTGGATCATGCGAATGCTGTCGCGGACGTCCTCGGGATGCGCGAGTCCCACGCCTTCGTCAATCATTTTGCGATTGATAACCATATCTTTGGCAATGTCTTGGACGGAAGCGCGGGACCCATCGCGCATAGATCGAGTGGACGACGGCGGAGTACCAATGCCGATACCCATCGTGATGTCGTCGTATCCGAAACTGGAGCTCTCTCTTTGCGCGGACGACGGCGTGCCGAACGACTGCGAGCGCTTCGTAAACATGCTGCGGTAGACCGCCGTGGGTTGCGTCATGTCGTCGGATTCAGGTGTAGCGAGACCACCGTCAAAGTGGACACCGCGTATGTCACCCATGGACGAACTAGTATGCAGCATGTCATGCGCTCCTTCGAGCTCGTGGTCCAAGAGAGGATTCTCCGCGCTATGCCGCCGTGCCGTCATGAATTCGCGTCGAGGTTACAAACGGAATGGATGAATTTCGTAAAAACAGGCCGATTTTTACTTGCACTTTGTATTGAAATTTGCCCTAACGAACGTTACTTCGATACCGAAAGTACCATACTATACATCGTAATAATATTAATATTACGAAAACGAGAAATAGTTTCACCACTTCAACATGTCCACACTTGGATGTGTGCACCCCTCCCCGCTGGTCTGATAGCAGCGATGCTCGGAGACCACCCCCTGCCGTACATACGTACTGTACTCGCATGCAGCCAGTTTACAACTTCCAACTGGCCTTCCTCACATGCGCAATGCAATGGCTTCTACGTACATCCTTCGGATCGATTCACATACACCGATGTCCAAGTGGCTGTATCCATCGTCAACGTCATGTAGCCATCGCGTCGATACTACCACGTGTGCGCAGGAATATGACCATTGAGTCGGACCAAATCCACGTCTAACAGTCACGACACAAGTAGTAGTAGCTGTGGTGCTTATCATGTACTACTACGTAGTAACTGGGTACAGATACATTCTCCCTCTTCAAGACGGCCATTGTATGCAGCCTCGTCCATTTCAATGGGCGAGCACACCACGTCTAGCCCTACACATCGTGCTGGAATGAATCGACCGCCACATGGCCACGTTCAGCGGCGGCTTCCAACACCTCGTGTGAACATGATAAGTACTATGATTTGGCCTTGGTCAGTGGGTGAGGAGGTATCGCACAATGTTGAAATGTCCATTCTTCCCGGCGGAGAGGAAGGCATGATCGGTACATCCCTGGATTCGTCGCTCCTCTAGGTAACTTCCTGTACGATGCGCATGTCGCCACATTGGGTGGCGGTGTAACCCCTTGGTGGCGATGATGGAGAAAGTCCCTGATCCGCACAACGCTGCCAAATCCATCAGCGTTGGATAATGTGGTGCCGCTTAGATGCATCAAAGTTGGCATCACGGAAAGGTTGCCCATCCACACAGGAGAATCAGTCGCATGTGAGGCATACACGACACGAGCGAGTTCGGCAGCTGCATACACTGTACCTTGCCGACAACAGGCTATGGATCCGAATATATCGTACACCATCGATGTCCACTGTCGGTAAATATCATACCTGGTATCCTAAAAAAAGTCGGAGTAGAATGGACATAACTTTACGATATTTGAGTTTTGAAAAATGATTCCAATAGACATCTTTCACCTCATAATCGAATTATTAGTTTAGACGATGAACTTCACAGATAAATTTGTCACTTTCTAAGCATTTGCACTGACATTTTGATAACCAATTTTGGATGACTATTCTATGTTAAAGTATGTATGTGTCGGAGCATTGAAATTCTGTGTTTAGGGTAAGCGGTTACAACAGGTTATATAATATATACAAGGGTATTGCTTTATAGCGTTATATTTCTGTTGTGGAAAGGATGTCCACCGAGTTTAACACTCGACACAACCTCAGATCCAACCCAATGTGGCCCATGTCGGCTAGGGTACTTCAAACCCAATCCTGAATGACTGATACCAATGGTTTCTACGCCGTTTTTGCATTTCATTCACGTGACGGAATGGTCAGCATTATATGACAGAGGTTTTGACCTGACCAAATAACGAGGTGTGATTGGGCAATACAAAGTTATCCTAAATTGGTTAAGTTATCTTAACCTGGTTTTTTACGTCAACGTTAACTGATGGACTGCAATAATGTCTCGGAGATGGAGCAACCACTGGAGCAGGTCCTTCAAACGACCGAACTGAAGATGGAATCGCCAGTTTTGGAGAATGACAGACGGTGGCATCATGAATAGTAATCCATTGATTTGTCAAAAAATAGAGCAATCCTCTCAGCCAATCCGCGATGAGGAAATTTAGATTGGCCAATGGTGTCTAACATTCGAACGTCAAAATCGAGCCAAGAACGAACCACATGCGAATAACTTCCAACAATTAATACATACCGGTACTAGTAGTACTAGCTAGCGAATTGGCGATGTGGCTCTATTCGTTAAGACCATACAGGCCATTGGATCTCTTGTAAACAGTAAGTATCATGTGTTGTCCATTTTGTTTCATATGTTTACTCTGTTATGTTTACTCTGTGCACACCACGAGGAGATATGGCTACAGTACTACTACATCATCGACCTGTCTGACGACTTGGGGCTCCCGATTGATTGCGTTTGGGATACGAAGCGGTCATATATATATATATATAAGTATATGTATATATATATATATGTATATATATATATATATATATATATATATGGGCAGCGGTCCAATTGCTTTCTTGGTGGCTCGACTTGCCTCTGGTATTTCGTACTCTTTTTTGTCATATATATATATATACATCACTTTCATGCGGCAGTGGACGACGGGCCAAACTTTTTAAACAATTTGCCCGGGTTCCACGATTGCGAGCGCTATATACATACAACCTCTCAAACACGATATCTTTCGGCACAGTTGTATGTGTACCTGAAATGTCCTGGGCACGGGCGACGACCGAACACTTGACACATGGGGCTGCTGGGTCCGCAGCGTCGGCGGCGTCGAGTTGAACGCGTGGCTCGGGATCGCCCTCTGCGACACGGTATGATCGTGCAGGCGGGCGTGCTTCCTCGCGTACAATAGCAGTGTAATCCACGACTGCATCTTCTCGACCGTGTTGGCGCGCACGTACACGCTGTGCTCCCCCGCGAGTTCAATCTAATCAACACCCCATAGTATGAATTTGATCCGTGTCACATTATATATATATATATATATAGGGGCACGAGGATTCATCGCAGGAAGGTCCCCATATCGACACGTCATTGGTGTTATGACAACAAATAGTGTTGGCCTGGTCAACGGGACACTCAACAAGTCCCGATATATCCCAAAACCATCGATCGATAAGATTTGGCCAATACCTTTTAAAGCATTTTAGGAAACTTATCCACACATATAAGTGGAGTTTAAGAACATAAAATAGGGTTGATCGGATATTTAGAAAAGTCCAATTCTTTTTTATTGTCCAGTTGATTCTAAATTGGAGTGTTTGGGTGCTCAATCAAATGAGCAGAATCACCAAATCGGCAGACAATCGATATACGACCAATCAAAAACCACAACACGAATCTAGTGGCCAATCAAAAACCACAACACAAATCAGCTAGCCAATCAAATTATCCACTCTTCAGCCGATTCAACATCGAATTAGTGTGTTACTGAAATTAGTGTGATCCTGGATGAACTTTACAAAGAATCGATCGATAGAGTTGGCGAAGCAGCACAAAAGTCCAAATATTGGGTAAAAGCACAATATTAAAACATTAGCAGGAGACGCAGCTGCACGTAATTGGTGTATGACAACACCAAAATAGTGTGACAGTGATCCAATCAATCAAGACTCCAATTGCAGCCATACATACAAGCAAAGCCTCGATCGATAGATAGATAGATGTAGGTGTAAAGCTAGCGATTTCTCGTCGCTCGTTCCCATCTTCGTCATAGCATCGATCGACTTCATCATCACCTACCGTGAAGTCCGTGTCGTTTATCGGCGATATCCGCGCCACGGCGCGCAAGTCGACTCTGCCCTTGGGCGATTTCCAATAACTGCGCGCGAAAAGCGAGAGTTCGCCCTTGGCAAAGTCCAGATAAAACCATCGCTTGTTAAAGCTGCCAAACAAGTGCACTCGCCCGGTCTTCAGCACACGCAAGTGGCCAAAGTACGGCGCCATGGCCGACGCCGGCAGGTTCAGGTTGATGCCCATGAGGTAGTTGCCGGTGAACGACGCCTCGCTGTCCATGTCGTCGTCCGTGTCATCCTCGAGGTCGGTGTCGCACAGCAGCTTGAGGCGGAGCCTGTCGATCGCCGCCATCGTGTCCTTGCCGCTCCGACACGACGTTTGCTCCAAGTTGTTGCGCAGCTTGCGCGTTTCAAAGTGGATCTTGGACACGGCCGCGCGGCTCTGCATGTAGTCGTGGAAGAGTTCGTCCAGGGACGCCTTGTCTTCGCCGTCGTCAAAGTGTTGGCGATCCGACTTTGTCGTCACGTACGTCAACGTGCCGTCCGACGACATGGTCGTCGGCGGGTTGTCCTCGCCCCAAAACGTCTGCCGGCCCCACGTTTGGATGAATCCTGCCACGGTATTCCCTTCCACTTCGTCGTAGTACCCTGCGGATTCGAAGAACGCGACGCCGTCCACGGGGTCGTCGCTCTACCGGTACACAATATATACGCTGCATGAGCCCATGCAATGGACGGTATGTGGCACGTACCGAGTACAGCTCTTCGAGGTGCTTATCGAAGAGTGTCGAGCGCGGTCCTTCGCTCATGGTATAGCTGATGTTGTCTCGCTGGAAATACCCGCTGTCTTGGCGGGTCAACACCGACGTTAATGGAGTGTCGCGCACGGCCATATGGTTGGGCCTGCTGGTGGTGGGGTTATTGGTGGCTGGATATGCGTTTTCCCGCACGAGTGTACTCCTTGTGGTGGCGACAGATGCAGCTTCCTTCGCCGAGGTCGGTGGTCAAGAAAAGTGATTACAATTCCACGGTTTCTACTTGAAAGCATGCCAGCATGCATGCATGGGCGCATTTTAATAACATTCGCCATAGAAAATGCAAGATAAATGCCAGGCGATCGCGACATTTTTTAGTCGACGCTGAAATCTTTGATAATTTTATGGATTGCAAGCGCACCGTGACGTATAATTGCCGTATATCGTCTAAACAACCGTTATGATAATACAGCGTGCCTAGAGCCACATTTTGAATCGATAACATTGAAGTCTGATTGGCCAACTATGATTATTTTGACCAATCAAAACGACACTGTACTTCAAAGTGTATGCACCTTGCAAGAGGAAATCTCCGCTAGTTCATGAACATTCTTGGATAAGCGAATTTGTATTTAATTGCCCTGGGCAAGTATATTGCTGCTGTCCCGTCTCATCACAAAGTCAACATGGGTCGATCGAAAGAAGAACGAGTCGCGAAGTGTTAAGGCTCCTTGAGGAGGACCCCATGCAAGAGGATATGGCATTGCAATGCCACTCGGGGGCAAGTCTAAGCTTGGATATCTGTCCAGGGTGAGAATTGAACCTCCGTGAATGATGGTGTGGTGGACGATCCAGTAACGTTATACAGTCCATCTGAACTCACTGTCAACCGCGACGTTAGTGGCCAGCCAAAGCCAAGGTTTCACTTTGACATTGCCAGTGACGCCATGCACCATTATTGTGAAGTAGGTGGTGGGGTATGATATCATCAATGGCTACAGCTTGATACTAGGACATACAGCCTTGATACTAGGCCATCTTGTACAGCTTGGAGCGCCGCTACGTTGTGGTACTGACGTCGTCCACGAATGAAATCACCTCGTCGTTGAAATTTCCATTGCCCCAGGACGTGGATTGGCTAACAGAGCTAAACCTCTCTAATGTTGTACGTAGCAGTACAGTAATGTGCCACCATGATTCATATCAAGAGTAAGCTCCCCATTTTCTAGGCATGTCATAAGGTTCTGGGGCTCATTATTATCTTCCGGTAACGTTCGTTAGATGTGGAAGAATATGCGGCGGGCAGAGCCCCGCCATTCAAGTTAGACCATGTTCCAAGATAATACTACGTAGTAATGTACTTCATCTCATTTTTGACAACCACAATTGCGCCAAACTACTGGCTGAAATTATCGCACCATCAGCCAATTACTGATCCTACACACAAATAAATATTGAATGCAGCCATGAACTCAGATAACCAGAGTGCAGATGCGCAGTCACCAGCTCATACGTGTGGGCGACTGGCGTTGTTGAAGTAATAGTTCCTAGAGATCTTACGGTCAATCCCGTTGGCTGTTAAGCGCAACGACGGACGTCGGCTTCGACCTTGGCCTTGGTGTAATATTGTGTTGGCCAATCAGTTTGCATTTTGTGTTCACGATTTATGTCCAATCAATCATGGCCATTGAATTGCTACAGAATAGGAAGAAATCTCTTCTCACCCCATTTGTGTGATTAAACAATGGGAATACAATGGGAATATTCCAATAAAATGATCCAGTGAGACAATTCACAGGAAATATCAGCCAAATTCAACGTAGTAATTTTCCAGTCAGAAATCCTGACTGGGCAAACCTTTACACACTCACAACCACTCGGTGTCTAAAGCAGCAGATCAAGCAGGCAAGCACCAAACGATCGCTTCAAGGTCCAACATGATGTAGATCTCATACAGGAGGTATTCTCTATTCCCATCTCTGCAAGATCCAACATGATGTAAATCTCATACAGGGTACCCCACCTCGTGTACTACAGTAGTATCACTCACTGTCAAATAAAACACTGGTACTACCGTATACGTATATATTAATAGTGCATGTTCCAAGGAGAGGAGTTGGCTCATGTGATATTTGCTGATTTGCAAAAACTCGCGAGTATTCACAGTCAAATGGAATTATTGGATCATTTCATTGGAATACTACGACTATTAATAGTACTATTATTAATACCTGCAGGCATCGGAAACCCATAAGGGTAGGGAAAATTATTTCTCCTTTTTCCCCTATATTTAAGGAGCCTACCCCTGGAAAATAAGGACTGAATATTTCCCTAACAGTAAAAATAAGGGGCCCATAGAAAAAGTGCCTTCCAGTTCGTCAAACGCACAACAGTGGATTGTACTGTAGGCCCTCGTGCCAGAAATGGTTGCGTTGAACACCAAACTGTAAGTACATTCGTTCAATTGTGGTACAGTCGGAAATGACTTTAACCCAATGCAACGATTGATTGCCTTCGGCTAACGTAATACCTCCAACGAACGGCTCAGTGGCAATCCACGAAACCACAAATAGCAAGATAACGTTAAAGACTACTCATCCCATTTAGTCCTTTGTGGACATATCCAGTAACGTTAGTTCGTTTCACCCCAAAGCAATGGTCCTATTGCATGAGAGTAAAAGACGAATTGGATGCTGTAGCCATGGTGCAATGTACCTCGTTGATTTGCAGACACCTCGCCACGAAGATGGCTGCAGCTTTGTTCAGTCCATTCTGAGCTCAAAACGTCGCCGACTGGTATCATCGGCATTCGTTGACGAATCTTTTACTTCGCCACGTCGAACATTGTTAAACGCTTGTTCTCGGCTGCCAAAGTGATCTATTCAGACCGCCGCCAACGTTTATATCCTGTCCATATGGAGATGCTGCTGTTCCTGCATGTAAACCAGCGAATTTGGGACGCGCAGGGTGTTCAACAAGCCGAATTTGCAACGCGAGTTCCAAGTCACCCTTAGGGTCCCTTAGTAGGGGATCGTTATCAAATAGGGAAATATAGTACGGCAGTCAGTATGAATATTTCCATAAGTATGATTTCATTTTGATCGTCTTCCCTACTATTCCATAGTATTTTTCCGAAGCCTACGTACATGTAGTACTTTCCCCAAATTTGACAGTTTCCCGCGCGCATTGTTTTGCTCGGCTTAAAGGTAGGCACATCCCATGCCTGTAGGACATGCAAGTCGACATGCGACGCCACAAAGATGATAACGTTACTGCAAGAGTGCCTCCACTGCCAGTGAACTAAGCTGGCCTCTACTGTACCTAGCGCACATGCCCATGGCATTGCTGGTGAAGCCTTCACTTTCCAAGCAGACGACAGCATGGACATAGTGCTGCTCCATTATACAGTCTTACCGGTGGGGATGCCCTTAGTCAGCGACGACCTAAGCCTCATCGCCCAGTACAGTACGTGGTGGAGTTCATCGATAAAAGGGGTGCACGACACGGGCTTTGAATGTGGCCATTTGGAAGTAGCCCGTAGCTTGAACGAGCATCGACGACAACGAAGATTCTACGAAGCATGCATTCGACTAGGCTGTGGGAAGCACAACTCACGTTTCCATTATTGTGGAGTTTCTGCACGACCATATCTCCAACCACAGAGAAGGTCGTGGACCGTGCTGTCGACAATGGCCACTAGGGAATGGTTCAATGGCTCCATCAGAACGGATGTAGCGATGTGACAGGTGGGTTAACGGCTTGCCACCACCTTGCCCGCACCCAGCTCCTCAGTACCTGGCTCATAACGCATCCTAGATCATGCTTGCCTGGGAACGTGTCTCAAGGGCAAGTATAGCTTAGAATCGCTAGCCTAGTGAAGTTCCCAATGTCTCAACCGCACCCGCATCCATTGTATACAAAAATGCATATTAGTGTAGAAGTAGTGAAGTAGACTAAGAAGATTTTATGATGAGGATTAAGGAGATCTTTGTAGATCTTCAGTTAATTCATTGTGCATTTTGCCCTCAACTACACACGCTTCCTCCCGCAGTGCTATATTTGAACGGAGCAATCGTCCCAAAGCTGCTCTGAACTAGCGTTTGGCATGGCAGCGGCGACAGTGGCCATCTGGACGTCGTAGAATTGATCCACGCATGCGGGGCGTCTGGATGTGATGCAATGGTTGGAGGTGACCCATCGCCCTGACGAGAATTGCTTTGAAGAAGCGATGCAGATGGCGTCGGAAACAGGTCAGGTAGAAAGTTCCAATGACTTGTCAATCCGTGGCATGGAGTATCCCAATACTAACGTCACTGTATACCGTCAACAAACGCGTACTTGGGTGGCCATATCGATGCGGTCTAGTTCCTCCATGGGTATCGACCGGGCGCCGTCACTCCGGCGTCGGTTTTGGAAGCTGTTGAAAGTGACCATTTGGATTTGGTGGTCTAGGTTCAGGGGTATGGGATCATGGACCCCACAGTGATGCATGTTGCCGCATAGCATAGTTATCTATCTGTGTGTGCTGAAATGGTTGGATGGGCTTACGTCATTCACCCGCAACGACAGCCGCCATGGACGGTGCGTCTGCAAATGGCAATATATACAAGTCGTCACAACCGTCGACAAGAAGGTTGCACCACCAGTATCATGAATGGCGCGGCAGATGGAGGACATTTCAGCGTTGTGATATGGCTACATCGGCATCGAGAGCTGAAGGCTGTACAGCTGACGCAATGGACCATGCAGCATCAAGGAAGAGGTGACCTGACGACGATGGTGGAATCTATTTTTGCATGTCAACCCAAGGCTGCACGCGCGAAGAATGGGCATTTGTCGGTGGAACATTTCTTGCGTACTCACACAACTCAAGGATGTACCGATCGTGCTGGGTCGATGTGTCGACATCTGAAAGTGCTCCACGCGACGCAAAGGCTGGTGGTATCGACGTGGACTCTCATTCATGTGACCAAAATCGACGGGGACTTGACTGTCGGGCAGTGGTTCTTACAACCTGGTGTTTTAGCCCAACACGTGCAGCTTGGCCACGTCATAGCCGAGGCTGGTCGGTTTACGGAGGTGCACTTCTTGCTCAAGACCAGTGGAAAGCACACCAGTGGAAAACACACCAGTGGAAAACACACCAGTGGAATGCACAGCAGCTGGGGGCAACTTGGCACTCCTTAGAATGATCCTAAGCATATGGAATTCCTTGCTCGAGCCGTGCGATGAACGATGCTGCACAAGTCGCCATTTAGAAAGCACGACGGCTGCGATCGAAGGGGCGTGTCGACATGGATTTATGCCAGTCGTGGCGTACTAGTATTTGCACAACGACGTTATAATATTATCCCGGACAAGTGCAACGCGATGCTTTTCGCGTGTCATTAGGCTGGGCAGTTGCACGTTCTTAAGTGGCTCTAGAGCATCCCCACCGGTGCGACTGTAAACGCTATTTTACAGTTCTATCCGGAATATTTACAGTTTTGACAACCCCACCGGGCGACTGTAAAATACAGGAAATTGTATACTACTGCAAATTACAGT